TAATAGTTGTCACGTGATTTCAAGGCATGAGATATAATACATTGTGACATAAATGTTATTTTGGATACAATGTGTTCCTTATATACAGATAACATAAATTAGTGTTTCTATTTTCATATTACATAATGTTTATATGTAACGATCATTTTTAAATGTAAAATAAGTTACTCATTGTTATTAAATTTTTACACCATACAGAAATGCTAATTTATGGTTGCATAGTGTCAATTATAGTTTTAAGTACATACAAGCGAATAGCACGGTCGCTCTTTTTAATCTTCTTTCCTTTTATTTTGGATTTAATTTGTCAATGTTTCTAATACTCAAGATGTTATTAGAAGCATTATTTATTAGAGATCTCTCACGACTGAATCATTCGAAAATTAATTTCTACCTTCTTTAAGAAACTTAGAATGTTAAAGCAGTATTTAAAGAGCAAATAAAGATTTATCTTGATCTTTATTAATTTGACGCTGAATGTTTGAGTTTCCGGAATTGGTAGTATTTCCTGTAGCGGTAGTAGTTGTAGGGAGAGTTGGTAAAGCTTCGGCTGCAGCTGCTCGTTCTGCCAAGAAACGTTCAAATTCGGATGATGTTAAGGATTCCTGATCACCGTGCGCTCCTGGCTAAAAATAAAAAGTTTCTTTCACTTATTATAATATAAAAATTAATTTAAAATATCTTATGAAATTAACCAATAGCAGAACAATCACATGATACAATTTCGAATAAGTAATCACGACAATTATGCTTTAAAGAAAAAGTAACTTTATCACTATACGTAACTCACCGTGTGATCTAACCAAGCTGCCATTTCATTAAATTCAGATTCCCGGTTCAGCTAAATATTAAAACAAAGGGGGAAAAAATAAAAACGAACATGTTAAACAAAATATAAGAAATATATGTAAATGTATGCATGTATATGGGCAAAAATAAAGCATAAGGAAACGTAAGAAATAAAATTAAACATTCCATGCTTTAAAAAGCTATGCAATAAAAGAAAGCAGCGACTATATATTGGATTTATCAGACTAATATGAATCTGACGCTTGACTATTATAAAAATCAATAAATAACAATATTCTTACCTTTTGTTAGGGCAGACAATTTTAAACCTCATTGTATAAATTCACAACTGAATTATTTAAATATATATATGATTTCAATAATAAAAACTTGTGAGACATATTTAGTGCTTGCAATGAACTTATTTTTTGTGAAAAAATAAAGAATAAATACTTGTATTAGCTAGATGCTTTGCAATAATGAATATAGTAAGGATAGGGTTTACGCACAGAAGTAGCGGTAGTAGAAGCAACTGTAGAAGCATTCTGATGAGGATATTTAGGATTATTGCGACTGAGAATCGCTGTACTGAGGCTTCCTCCGCTCACCTGCTCCATATTATCCTCATACTTGCTACCACTATAATAAATATAAAGTAATAATATATTAAAAATATAATTATCGCAACATTTAAGAATTTATTTATTACTAAAAACCTGTTCTTTGTTGTTTCATATGTTGCATTACGTGACTGTGCAAACATATCAAATTCGTCATTGTCACCTTCTTTTCTTTCTTTTCGATCTGTTCTACTTTTCTCACTGTTTTCGGATACGTCTATAATTTAACAAAAAACGATTTAATATATTCCTTGTTTATTACAAATATCTAGTACTTACCTATTCCTGTCACCTGCTTTCCCAAAGCGTCAATTTCATCAGATAAATCTATGAGCGAATCAGCTTCTTGCTTACTAAATGTTGAAATAGAATCTTTATTTGGTGGGTGACCAATCGTTTGCGCTAAAATAGTACTAGCAGCTACTGCTTTATTTTTTGTGTATCGTGAATAACGTAGAAATAGATTATTTAATTCATCGTTGATACGCAATAATTCCGCTGTCATTTCGTCGTGTGCTAATTTTCCAATTAAATCGACAACTCTTTCTTGCATTGCTTTACAAGTTGAATGCAGTTCCTATTACATCAAATTATTTCAATATAACTTATAAAAATTTACAGAACATGTTAATTATATACGTACAGTTAAAAGTTCTAGATCTGCAGCATCTGGTTGTTGGTTATTAGTTTGATCCGAACTTGTAAAATATATCAACATTTCTGATAAAACACGCATATTCCCTTGTACAAAATCAAGTTCACTTTGTAACTTGGCTATTTGCTGTTCATTCAATTGAGTTACTTGCATCGCTGGTTGAATTTGAGGTTGTTGAACTTGTGTAGTTAAAGAAGTCACAGGCTGCTGTTCAGTTGTGGGAACATTAATAATATTCTGTTCTGATTCAGGTACGCTCTATAATGGTAAACACATAGTATAAGAAATTTTTTACTGGACTAGACATTTACAGTCCTTGATCAAAAAATTAAGGTCATCATGGATACCATCTTTGAGAAAATCAGTAATGAATCAGCAATCTGATTCTTATCTGGATGTTTCCCCATATTAATTCTTTATAATTCACATTTAATTTCTTTGCTTAACTCTTGGCCTTAACCCTTTGCATGCCAGAGACACCTCTCAGTTGCCAATTGATCTGACACAGCAAAAGTGTAAAGTTTTATATTTAATATTAAACTTTCTATAATGCATTGATATGTGAATATTGAAATTAAATAATTTTATTCTCCAATTTATGTGCAATTTCTTATCAAGTTAGTTTCAAAAAATGTTGTCTATATCTCATTAGATAGTGTTAAGTATTTCCAGTGAAACACTTCTGTAGTACAAGGAGTTAACATTATGACGAAAAAATTATTACTAAATTACCTTTTGGACTTCCAATATTATGATTATCATTAAAAATGTGGCGTAAAAACTATGGTGGCCTTAATTTTTTTTATCAGGGACAGTAATAATAATATAGTGATCTTACTCTCTCCGGAGTAATAATAGGGGCCAGGGCATCCAGATCTGTCATTGGAAATTGTATGCCTTTTACTTTTAACTCTTGATATACTTGTACAACTCCTTGAGTATGTGGTTGATGGCGGAATGTTTCTGCCCATGTTTGAATCAAACTTAAAACTTTTTCTTGCACTGCTGTTGGTGGTTCATTTTTTGGTCCAATTAATTTAACCAATTCATGTACAAACTCTCGAGAACAAGCAAGAGAATGAAAACGTTTTCCACAATTTTTCACACATGTTTCCAATACCTAAATTTGTAAATATTATTTCATGAAAAATCGTATGTTTTATTATTATAAACTGTTAACCTATGACTGTTATTATTATAAAATTACACAAACTTTAATAATAATATGTTTAACCCAATCGTATATATTAATTTCAGTCAAAACCCTTATGAAATATTACTAATAATAAATTACTTTTCAAAAATAATTAAATGAAAAAATAAATACCTTGGAAAAATATTCAATATTACAATGTAATTTTAACATATTGTACATATTTCATCTAAAATATAAGTATTATTAAATATTTAAATACTAACAGTGAGAGTATACATGACTATGGTATAATTTTTTCCTGCAGCTTGATTGAGTTTACGCTTAATTGCTTTAATTGCGTCTCTTGGCCCATCCTCTGTTTCATTTATAATATCACATATTTCCATATTAAGCGTCCAATTTTCACTTGGCAAACTACCATCTGTAGCTTGCTCTGTAATAAATATGTAATAATTATATGTATAATTAATTATATTTTTCTTTCATAAAAAAATATTTCATCAGTTATAATTCATGACATCATATATGTCTGAGGCAATATATGCATTATTAGAAAAAATTGATAACATAGAAACATTTAAACATATTAACATACCATAATGGTTTATAAAAATTAAATTAATAAACTAATCCTTCATGTACATTCACCTGATCAATATAATATACTTAACAAAGGTAAATAAGAAACTTACCTATCTTCTGGCCTACTAGTGTTGAGAATGGATTGCCAAAAAACGACATTGTTATACGACGTTCGAAACTGTTCTAATATTCAGTGACGATACTTTGACTCACTTGTGCATATATAAGGCACGTAACAACTTTTAACAGGAACAATATTTGATAATAATTTACAAATTTCTTGTTCCGCTGAATGACAGTATCATATGACCCATACTACGATACAGACAGAAGTCAAAGTGTCAAGAACACCAGCCAATCACATTTAACTTTTCATATATTGTATTATGATTGGTTTTAGATTTTTTAAAACGTAATTATTTAAAGAGCATACGTTTCATTCTCTAAACAATAAAAGTACAAATTTCAATGAAATATATTAACAAATAAATTTGAAAGAACGAGTATAATTAAATATTTATAAGTTCAACATATCGTAGAAAAAGATGTATTAAAAAACAGTTATTTAAAATAATGTTCAAATAAGAATACAATACCTTTCTCACAATCAATATATTTATTTATTTTGTGTTTCAAATTAATGCATATTCATATATAATACATAGGTACCTATGTCAAGGGTGTCTAACTGGGTGTCCGCGGGCATTCTAGTGACACTCCCCTGACGAAAAGTTACCCTCTCCATATCTATTTTCACTTACCCATAGATATCACATATACGTAGTATCAGCAGCTTAGAGTGAAGTAGTAGGGAATCCCTGATCGAAGTTACTAGTTCGAGGGGAGGCAGTTTAACACTCCTGAAGTCATGAGTTTTCTTATCTCGTGGAAACTTAGCTTAAGCTAAACAATTTCGTTGCGCGGTAACCAGTTAAAGTAAGAAAATTAAACATTGCTTCTGTAACACAAAATAATAATTAGTTTATTCACTTTACACAATATCGAACTTCCAAACATGTTCGTGGAGGAAGATGTACCTACTATCCTCCAAGAATTTGTGCAACCTCACGCAATAAACCAAAATATGCTTAGAAAATTAATAATCGATCAAGGACCAAAAGGGGAAGCTGGCAAACTTTTCTTTGAAGACGGAATTCATTTAGAAGAAACAAAAGAAATTCGTATAGAATTTCTTAGTACGCGACATAAATAATTATTAAATTACATTTTTATAATTTTACACGTCCGTTATCATATCATTTTCCTTTTTAGATATCTTAAAAATCGATTATCTTTGGGTGATGCCAAATCTAGTAAAGTTAAAATTATCTAATAATATAATTAAAAAAATAGAAAATTTAGATACTCTGATACATTTAAAAGAGTTAGATCTTTCCTTTAATCACATAAATGTAATGGAAAACCTAAATTGTTTAATAAAATTGGAAACACTTCTTTTATACAATAATGAAATTACTAAAATAGAAAACATAGATAATTTATATAATCTTGCGATTTTTAGCATTGGTAATAATCTTATAACAGATTGGGAACATGTAATTTTTATAGCAAATTACTTTTCATAAACATTAATATCCGTAATGTTTATATTTATGAAGTTACTGTTTTAGGTACTTTATTTACGAAAATTTAAAAAGCTTCGTAGTTTAAATATGAGTGGAAATCCGTGTACTAATAAAAGTGGATATTCAGATTACATATTTGCATTTATACCTCAATTGCTTTATTATCAATATAAAATGATAACAAATGAAGAACGAAAACTTGCCTCAGAAAAACATTAGTAACTATAATATAATGAAATGTTTATTTAAACCATATTTGCACTTATTTGTAAATATAGTTTTATCATATTAGTAGGTCTTTAAATACTCTAGAGGAAACAGAAGCTAGAGAAACAGAAGAATTGAAATTACAGCAAGAATATGAAAAAAGATTATCTTTTCTTACCATTGCATATGTGGAACACCTCGATGAAGATTATCTTTTTCAAAAAATGTTTGCAGATGATGAAGGTTTACAAGTTTATTATTTTATTATAACAGTTATATACATGTTTTTTTTATATATGCAATGTTTAATATTATAACAAAACATCGCATATAATAATATTATAACAATTTTATACAATGATTTCATATTTAGTGGGTAAAGAATTATCCATGGTAACTGAAGATACTCAGAATGCTTATGCAGAGTATAAAAAAAATTTTGTAGTATTATGTCAAGAATTTTGCGAGCTAGGTTTAAAAGAACATGAAAAACGAGTCAATGAAATATATCTTTTTACAACTGCAGTTAATAATGGGAAAAAATTATCACAAAATCAGGGTAGAGTGTAAGTAATATAGAGTGCAGAGACTCATGAAATTACTAACAAACATGGGGAGAGGATAAATTGAAAAAGTATTATTTTTCTGAATCTAGAATTGTAAATGACATAATAAAGAAGAAAACTAATATTTTAATAAATATTAAGCAATCATTAAATAAAATACACGGCGATGTAGATACCACTATTCTTGAAGAAGTGACACAAAAAGTACAACACCTTGCTGATGACTTTAATGACATAATCACTGATGGTTGGACAAACTTAATGTCTCTTGAAATAGAGTTGCATGAACAAATTGAAGTATGTTTAGAAAAAAAACAAGTATTTATGAAACAATTAATAGAAAAATAATAATTAATTTATGTTTTGAAGGATATAAACGATGTATTTAGAATTAACATGTCAGATATGGTGGATTCTTTTTTAACAAATGTACATGGATATTTTTCACAATTGCGAAATCGTGAAGCGGAATATAATGATACTATTAATGGATTAATTTTATATTATTTAAGTGGTTTTGGAGATGATTCAAAAATACCAAGCCATTTAGTAAATTTGTGTGGAGACAAAGATACTTTAAATTTTAATCTTAATAATTCTCATGAAAAGCATTTACAAGTGGGTAAATATTTATTTTAATTTATTAAATTATTAAACTTATCTGATAATTCCTTCATTACAGGTAATAGATATTAGAGAAGATACAATGATAAATCGTTTAAAAAAGTGGCTTGAAGAATATACTGAACAATTAGTTGAGTATGTTACATGTTCTATTCTTATGTATACATAAATTGCTTCCAAAACTTGAAAAATTATTTTAATTTTACAGAGATGAAAACAATAGAAATAATGAGCAAATACTTGAAATATCGCATTTTGCAGATTCCCAACAAAAGGAAATTTCTTCACTACAGTTATTGCAACAATTAAATGTAAATACTAGTGACCTAGAAGCTATGCAGGCTCTTGGAAATTAAGGTTTAGTAAAACTTATCAATATAATAAATTTTATTTAAATATAACAATAAAAAAGTGGTATAAAATGTTATAAAATTTCACTAATTGAATAACGTTAATATATTAATAAATTTATGTATTGTATATTTATACCTATAAAATAATATATAAAAATATTGATTTTATAAAAATTTTAGAATTTTTAATATTTAAAAAATGTCTTATTTCCGCTTCAAGGACTCTATATATAATTTAATGCCTGCTTGCACTTGTGGTAACTGAGCATATGTTATGAATTCTTTAAGGTCCTTATCACGATTTTCTTTCATCCAAAGCAAATTAGGCTCTCGTAATATAATTTTTGTCTGAGATCGACCTATAGCTGTATTAACATTTTCAAACATAAATATATTTTTTTCTTTTTTTAATCAATATATCAAGTAGTATACTTACAAGATATGTGTTTAAAGCCTTGTATAAATTTTTGACACTTATTAATAGCATCTGTTTTATCAACAGCCAACTCATCTACAAGTCCAACTTGTAATGCTTCTTCGGGATTAAATAAAGATCCTCTAAATTAATATTTTTAAATCAATTAAAAGTATTATTACAAGTAACTTTTTATATTATGTGTATCATTCATTAATTACCGTAAACAAGCCATTTCGGCTTTTCTATATCCTATTACATCAATATATAAATTTTTAAACCATTTTGGAACTGACATTCCTAACTGTGTTTCATTTAATCCTATGGTATGTTTGCCTTTAACAAATACTCTGTATTCGGAAGAAAGTCCTAATAAGCATCCTCCAGCAGGACTGGCACCCTTTGTAAATAAAATAATGTTGTAAATATTTATATAATTATTTAAAAATAGTCATGTATATACAGATTGTAATCTATATAATTATAGTAGCTATATTGTTAATAATATGTAAAATAATACATTAATAGCAGTGGCTAATGGAATTTCCAAACCATATAAAGTCAACCATGTATCTTGTAATGTTTGCCAATACTCAGTTAGTTGACTTTCAGTTCGATTATACATTTCCATTAGGTCAAGTCCTCCAGAAAATATAGTTGGTAATGCAGATGTCAATATAACACCAGTACTATGATTTTTTTGTGCATCCATTAAAGATGTTTTTAAAGCATTTAATAGCTCTTTATTTAAACCATTTACTGGTTGACGAGTCATTGATATTGTAGTAATACCTGTTGAATGAAAATATTAATTAATTTAAATTAAGTATTATTTTGAAATTAATTTAAAGGCAAAAAATAAAAATTATAACTAACGAGTTTTACCTGTATTGTTTTCGTGTGTAACTTCAATAAGTTTTGAATTGGACATATAAGTTTTACATAATGGAATTTGCATATTAAAAAGCTTTCTTACTGCAAACATGATTAATTAAATATGGGTTTTATATTATAAACACTGAAAAATATTACTTATATATGCTAAAACAAACACTTTATTTAATTACTTTTAATTTACTATCAGCTGTATTATTTTCGTCACAGCTGTTAATTTTTTTAATCAAACCGATTCTGCAAGGCTGATTTTTTTTATCACAAATAGCACTAGTACCGTGTCATAGATCATGGGAACCCTGTGTAAATATAACTTTGCAAAATTTTATTACAATTTTGTAAAGACGAAAAAGCACATATTTTCAGGTTTTTACGCAACGAATTAATGAAATATGCGATTGATACATCCAAATCATTTAATTTTTAATGCTTATCAAATTATACAACACAAGTAACATAAACTGTAGTGTTATCATCTTAAGCGAAGATCCACTTCAGATAAAATATATTTTTGTTCATTTAACTTCGTTATCATGTTTACATAAAATAATATTATTATTAGTTCTTTTATACTTAAGTTACTTTTTGGACCCTTTCAAAAGAAAACATTAAAAATAAAAATATTAATACAAATATATTGTACTTACAATACATAGAATAGGCATTTATATAAAACGAAAATAAAAATAGTGTATATATATAAACTGTAAACAAACAATATTTATTTCAATATTGTTATGTTTATGTAAACGTTTGTTGCTAAATTGTTATTAAATTATATTTATAAACATATTATAAACATATTTAATATCATTGATCGAGATTAATCGTGATCCTACCGTACCGTACCAATGATTATTAGTGTGAATCAAGCTTTAAATGGATGTTACATAGTCATTACAAAGAAGACGAATTTTTCACTTTGTAGTCTCATTTAGTTCTCACTTTCATCCATATTTTTATTTTATGCGATAAGGAACAATATTTTTTGCGACTAAAATCGTACAATTCACAGTTTTCTTGAACAAAATCTATGAATTGCTATCAATTATGATCGCTCTTATAATATCAGCCGTTTATAGTTGCCGATCAAATCAAATTCGGATAAGTTTGGCGCGGTTTGCGATCGCCGGCAGGCAAACCAGCTCGACGATCAATAAATTGTGATTTAACTTGACCGTACCTACAACCGGGAATATTCTTATTGGATTACATGTTATTATATTGGCAACAATGATGATAGGCTCTGATTTGACTTGATGTGATCGTACCGTTAACCAGTAGTGTGAATCTGGTTTAAATATAAATATTAGGCATTAGTTGTTTCGAGACCAAAACTTCACGTTGTTGTATTCAAAATTGAGTATTGCACTATGTTGTTAGATATTACTATAGGTTGAAAAAAGGAAAAGATAACTACAGTGTAAGTCATTCATATCCGTGAAATTTCATCTATTGTTGGTAGGCTAAGATCTATCATACAAGAAATCGTTGATAAATAAAAATAATCTAAAAGGAGGAAATAATTTGGAAAATAAAAGATAATCTCCCTTGTTTTAACATGGTTTTACTTGATTTTTGGATATTTTTCTCCTTCAAATTTTCACTTATAGGAGCTGCTCTTATTTTTCACATAGATTCAAACTTAGAAAAAGCTAGATAGCAGAAAATTATGGACTGCAGCAATTTATTTTGGGTTATTATAAAATAATAACCCAAGCATTGTACTACTACTACTACTAACAATCAACTGTAAGTCTTAAATAATGCTTGAAAATACTTAGAAACACCTCCATAATTTCTAGATGTAAATATTGTGGGAAATACTTGGAACCATCTAAAATGAAAGTAATGTCACATTGAATTTCATTATAAAATGTAGAAAGGGTTCTTTTAGAAGAAAATATTTGAACTAAACAAAATAATAGAAAAATATCAACTTTTTTATTGCATACATTTAAAAACAATATATTTCCTTACATGTTATTATCACCAACTTTGATAAAATTCTAAATTAAAACCAACTTTTAATGGAAAACTTAATTTTTGGCATTTATGTCTGAAAAAATGACATAAGTACCCTTTAAATGAAGTTTACCCAACAATGTATTTCTCTTATGACCATTTGGTGCAATTGTAGCTCATTAACCAATTTTTGAATGGAGTATTATCATATTTCTCATTACAATAAACGTAATATTCTTTTGTATTTTCAGTTTCAACTGTTTCTTTGTTTATTCCTTTTTTCTTGAATGGTACCTTTCATTTATATTTTTCTGTTTTCTTTTCATTATTTTCATTATTTTTATCTTATGTTTGTAATGTTTCTTCCAAGTTTCAGGTTATCCTACACAATTCATTCCTTATTACCCCATAAGATAACATACACAAATAATAAAAAATATTTATAGTTACAAACATCAAATTGAGACTTTAAATTATGAAATTAACATCCTAAATTAATCCTTCATTTGTATTTTTTTGTTTGTGAACATTAATATTAGGATACTATAAATACAAAAATTACACTCAATTCACTTTTTTTCAAAAAAATTGTAACAAAACAAATAAAAATGTATAATTGTTTTTATTTTAGATAGAATGCATATGTATTTTTTTGCAGTTGTGATTTAATATTACTTGTAATATTAATCAATTCACGAAAGAATTCATGAAAAACTATATAAAACCTTATTAATTTCTTTAAATTCAGAAATACAATTTAGTGTTTTTGTAAAACGAAAAGTTTTCGTTACTAGGAATTGAATAGCGACAATGTTCATAAATAAATGAGAACAAAATTAATAGTTGAGTTGAAGTTCGCGAATAATACTGTTTACGGATAAAATTCGGCATTTAAAGGGTTAACTGTTAAATGGCGACAGGATTATTCGGTTATCGTTGTTTAGTACAGTATACTATTATCATTTCCAATTACTTTGTGTTCCTGATTACCTTACTCTTCGCTGCTTATCAATTTAGTGAATTCAATGCCACAACGGTTTCAAATTATAATAAGATCGAAGGGGAATCCCATTAAGTACGAACATATTTAAACTTAATGATATTCTGTCTTTTAAATTAGGCCGGTCCTATTAATTTTTTCCATTAAACTGTAACTGTATGAATATTTGTTACACATCTATTTACCATTTTACAGATATCAATATTTTAACAAAGGATATTGGTATTGCATTAATTCTTTGTTTAAATTATTCTGGAGACTTCAAGGAATGTGCATATGTTTTTTTATTTGTAAAAATTTTACTAATAAATGATGTTTTACAATATTTTTGTTAAAATTATTCACCGTACGAATACTTTTTACGCTGACTGTATAGAAAAGATTAATTACTTTATCTGTTTCGATTATCATAAAGTGTTAGATTTATATAAAAAATAAACTTTATTTTACTGTTTTACATATTATTCTACTTATATCACTATAAAAAGTGAATATTGTCCAGAAATCGCAAACAGCAAAATTATTTGTAATAATGGAACGGACCGGAATGGAACAGAATGGATCGCGGGCAGGTGCTAATATGGCGGCTATTCTGCTTTATAGTTTCGTGACATCGCCCATTATCTTAACTTTTTTTTAAGCAAGTTATAAAAGTTCAGTCACTGGGTGACAAAAAAAACAATGTCTTAAATGGGTCCGCTTATGTTTGACAGATAAGCCAATCAGCAAAATGTCAACCAGATCGCAACTTACGAAAGATTTAAACGGTTTGTCTTGATCCTGAATGTTTACGTTCGTATCGTGGACCTGTCATACCTCGAGTGTATATATTATTCATCCAATTTAAATAGTCATTGCTTAATAGAGTTCATAGAAACTTTAATGATTATTTTTTTATTTTGTATATATGCAAGTTGAGTTAGGACATCATTTTTAAAAAATATTTCTCTTAATTTTCTACATTCATTACACTCCATTGAATATATCCTTCTATAAATTATTTATTCTTTATAGAATCAGTGAAAGCACTACTTGGTAAGCATGTCAAGATATTATTAAAAAATGTTGTGAAATTGGAAACAAAGCAGGATAAACAAGAAAATCGTGTTCTAGTGAGTAATAACCGAATAACATTATAACAATCTCATTTTAAGAGAAATTTTGTAAACTAGCATTTTAATATGTATTTTATCATCATGATTTAAGGTTTTCTCACCATGTCGTCTATTTCTTTTAACGGCCAAAGTACCCACAAGGGTAAGATTAAATTATTATTTTATTTATTCGATTAAAATTATATGGATATTTTATTAATTAGTTATTAACTTTGTAGCTCGACTGTCATTTTCATTACTTAGAAATAACATCTATAGAATCCAAAAGAGCAAATCAATTATTATTAACTGTTGGAGAGAGGTATTACAATTTTACTACTACAGGAGCAGGAGCAGATACGACAGAGGTAGATGCAATGATTGAGGCCTTACATACTGCAATTCGAAATATCTTTCCCACTGTACCATTAAAGTACGTGAATCTATTATCGTTACATAGTTATTTTAAAGATTTTTCATTGGGTTTACAAAAATTGGTATTAACATTGATATCCTTCCTACAGTTATATTATAAGAAAAATAGAAGTAATACCAGCTAGTAGATTGCAGAGTATAAGAGGTAGTGAGTTAGCTAGAAGTACAGAAGCAACAAGACACACTGGACCTTGTGGTGGATTTTCAACCCAATATGCATGCATGTGCGATTTACATGGCGTACCATATAGAGAAGAAGTTGCTTGGGTAATATTCTTAAGATATATAGAAGATAAAATGGTATCAGTATTTTAAAATTTTGTTTGAAAAAGATTCATTTTTTAGGACGTTGATACAATATACCTCTCTCATGACACAAGGGAATTAAATTTAAGAGATTTTGATCATTTAGATCAAAAAGATTTGGTGCCAATCATTTCCGCCTTGGAATATAATACTTGGTTTACAAAACTAAGAGCATCTCATTTAAAATTAAGTCATGAACCTTTGGAGCGATTATTACATGTTATGCGCAGATCTCTTTCCATACAAGAATTGTACCTAGATAATCTTGGAATTAAGTGGTAAAAATCAAATGATGTAGTATAAAATTAATTTTGATAAAAAGACTAATAAACATATTTGTTACAGGGATTTTGCCCACAAATTATCGTTAGCTTTAATTTCCAATGGTAATACAATGTTGCAAACTATCGATCTATCGTATAATACTATTGAAGATAAAGGTAAATATAGTAACCTTTTTGTATTATTGTGACGTTCTGTAGTAAATTAATGTGATTGTTTTAATAGATCCATTTTCAATTTTTCATTTTTGCTTTGTCTATTTTAAAAATAGTTTTAACATATGTCTGTACAAACTTTTTATTTATATTTTTGTAGGAGCCTCTAGTTTATGTGTGATAATTGCCAAGTTAATGCAAGGTGTGCACATAAGTATTACTCTTCCCAATAATTACCATTTGTAGTGCCTGTTATTTAAATTGCTTTCTAACCTGTTGCATTCAAAAATATAATCCTCCATTTAAAATTTCACTATATTTTTCTTAAATTAAAAATTATCATTACATTTTTTTCTTCTTACACAACCATACATTATTTGAATTAATGTAATATGTGTATAATAGTTAGTAACTGTGTGATTTGAGCAAATTAATAGATTGAATCATGAACAATAATATAAATTTTAGGAGGTGCACATATAAGCGGACCTATTGGTAAGCTACCTAAAGGTTTACAAAAATTAAACTTAGCACATTGTGGACTAACAGGGAAAGGAATAAGTCAAGTCGCACATGCATTAAGTTTAAATAGGAGCATGCAAACTAGTTTGCAATATTTGAATCTTTCAGAAAATTCTTTAAAAGATGACATCAATGTAAGTTTTTAATAAGATTTTAAAATTCAATGGTATAAATTATTACTTTAATATGATAAAATGTATTATTTACAATGATATTGTTATTTTGTTACAGAATTTGTGCAATTTTTTAGCACAACCTAATAGCCTAACTCATTTAGATCTAAGTGGTACAGATACTACACTAGAATGTGTAAGTATTTAGTTTTGTACGTAACAAATTTCAATGGAACAAGTCATTTACATGTATTACATTTATTTTATTCAGCTGTTCGGTGCTTTACTACGGGGTTGTGCAACTAATCTAGTCCATTTGAATGTTGCTCGCAATTCTTTTTCAAGCAAAAAGACCAAAGAAATACCTCCCAGCTTTAAACAGTTCTTTACAGCTACACTTTCATTGAAGTACTTAAATATATCTTGCTGCAAATTGCCATTAGAAGCGTTAAAGCATTTATTACTTGGTTTAGCATGTAATGAAAGTACTGTTGGTTTGGAACTTGATATGAGTGGAAATAACTTGGGCTCTATGGGTGCTCATGTACTGGAGTCGTGTATACATGGTGTACGTTGTATAGCATCATTGGATATTTCAGATAGCAGTATGTATATTTACAACAGGAAGAACTTGTCTATCATTTGTGAATGATACAGTTGATTAATTTTTTCTTTACAGACATGGATGTTGATCTAGCACAAGTAATAACTGCTATAGGAAAAAACAAATCTATAAAGCAATTATGTATGGGCCGTAATACTGTTAGCATGAAAAGTAAACATATTGCCATTGTAATGGATGCTCTTGTACAAATGCTTCAAGAGGACGACTGTGTTTTACAAGCATTACATTTACCGGATTCTCGTTTGAAGTCTGATCTCTACAACCTTATTAATGCCCTTGGTAGTAATACATGTCTTCATACTTTAGATATTAGTGGTAATCAAATTGGAGATCCTGGTGCAAGATTATTAGCAAAAGCGCTACAGATTAACAATCATTTGAGGACCATTATTTACGATAAAAATAACATTACACTCCAAGGTTATGCAGATATTGTTCATGCTTTAGAAAAGTATGTATATTTTTTTTTATCTATTATTTAAAATATACTCGTACATTTCCTAATATGTTGTATTCTATTAAAGAAATTGTAGTGTAAGGCACATGCCATTTCCAATTTACGATCTGCAACCGTGTATGAAAACTTCTGCCGACAAAACTGAACAGTTAGCTAAGAAGATACAAGATTTATTGCAAAGAAATGTTACACCTTGCAAGTACAGCCATGGTCAAGCCTTTAGATTACAACAAGGGTTTTTGTTAAGCTCTACACAACAAATGGTTGATAGACTGGTTGTACAGACTCAGGATACTATTAAAGCCATTGCTGCTGAAAGCTGTGATGCTAATAACGATATTAATTATGCAACTGGACTTATACAAGATGCGGATAATTCAAAGCAGGTACAAATAAACGAGCATATAAACATTTGAAAGGTGATTTTATTAAAATATAATCTTTCCAGTTATTACCGAGATTACACGAAGTACTTCAAAGACGGGATGAAAATAATCCAATTGAATTAAAATTACACGATATGGCAAATGAACTTCATAAAGTTGTGACTGTGTATTTACAGGTATATATTTTATGTATATTTTTATACTGTTCATATTGTTACTTTAGCTATAACGATAAGTTTATAATAATCAAATATGAATATAGGATTCCTTAGATGCTATGATAAAATGTGCAAATGAACAGTGTCCTACGATACTTCAGCAAACGGTGATTAGAGGAGATGAAAGTGAATCAATTGCCGTAGAAGATGATCTACGTAATAGTTGTAAAGAAAAAAACCAAATCAGTAGTGAATTTATACACACCACTATTACGGAACAAGCTGGAGCAGATATAGTCAATAGAGTCAAGTAAATATATAGCATATTAATACTATCCAAAATAAAAATTATTATTCTTACTTAAAAAAAGTGTTTTCATTTTGTTTTATTATATTTTCACAGTGAATTAAATTTAGCTGTTGCTGGTCATGTGTCTGACAGAATAACAGATGAAGTCATTGAATCATTATCGAGGAGTTATAAAAATTTGGTATGTATAATATACAATAGAACAATTTTCTAAATTGAATGAAAGCATTTTAATTTTAATACCGATGTTATTAGATCGGTGATTGCGATAGTAGAACACGAAGTAGCACACCAGATGTATTACGGCCTAGTGCTGGTTCAATGAGTAGTGGAAGTGTAATAGGTGTTACAAGTACAGTAGGTGTATCTACGTCATTGGCTATTGGTAGATCCAGCCTTGCTTCAGAAGAAGATTGTCCACCTGAAACTTATTCACTAGTAAATTCTATTGGTCAGTGTTCTAGTGATCAGTCTCCTATGGTAAGTAAATGTAAACTATCCCATAGAATTATTAATAAGTATGTATTATTAATAATAGTTAATACAATGATCAAAATATAATGTTTTCATGTCTGTCTAGAAATTGGATTATTTAAATCTTGTAAGTATTGGTTAAAAGTATGTACCGTTTAATGTCATTTATTGTTGCAGTTTTCCAAGAATTTACAATATACTGTGTATAAAACATTCACGTTATTAGCAGCCAATGATTTTCTTGCAAATGGTAAATGTATTTTTAAAAAAATAGAAAAGAAAAATGTTGCATAGTTTTTCAAAAGCAACACAATGAATTATATAAAATTTTTAATTTGATAATAGTTTGTGAATAATGAAAGTAGCTTTCACTTTTGCAAATAAAAAGTTTTAATTTTTATATAACACATAAAAGCAAAAATAAGAAATAATTAAATAATTAAATAAGAAGTAATTCATACGTAATTATATTAAATGCGTTGTTTTGTGTTATCATTAACAATAATATTAACATTTAAGAACATAATGTAACATTTAAACTAAAATTAAATATTATTTCCTATTAAAAAATTGGCAGTTAAAACATTATTTACAAATTATTGTAAAATCATAAACTGATGTAACCTACTTATTTAGTTGAAAAAAAAAGAAATAGTGAAATATTTACTTTTTGCATTCCTTCCGTATACTTTCTATTTAAGAGAAAAACGATGGCTAATAATAACGTAAACACTTTACTTATATACGTTTTAGTAATATTAACAATTGTTTTTCGTATTTAGGCCACACCACATTTATCAAATAAACGTAAGAGTTTACATGGAAGAAAGTTAAGACCTAAATCTGTGGTTGATTCAGTTGAAGGACTTTCTGCTGACGACATTCCTGATCTATTACCACCGTTGCCAAAAAGTCAAGCAGAAGGTTCATATCATTTTAACTTGTACACTTCATAAATTTATGAACTTTTAATTGATTGAAGAGTTTTTAGCCATTTCAGAAACAGAACATTCATTAACAGAGTCTTTAGATTCTGTTTCTGAATTACCTAATACCGTGGGTCAACAATTACAACATTTAGTAAAATCTAGACCTCGTAGAACGAAAACTAGAGCACCTACAAGACCAATGTTAAGACCAGATCAACCAGTGGATGGTCTTGCTCTTGGAGAAGGCCTTGACGTATTCTTTCGACCAACTACACCAACAACTCCTCTTATATCTCCAACAAGCGATGATAGGTACTACACTGAACGGAATATGATCTCCGGTTTTTTAATAGAAATTGCATACATTAACTTACATGTTTTTAATTAATTGCAGCTCCTTACATACGTTTCCGACTGATGGCAGTCCAAATTTATCTCTTACGAGTTACAAAAGTATTCCACCTGATACGGATAAGAAACCTGGTTGTAGTTCACCAATGTTAAAAACGCTCCTTGAGCCTACACCACGATCACGGTCTAGCGATAATTTGGAGAAGTTTTCTCCTCTCGTCGGTAGGAGATCTCAAGGTGATTCACCATTAACCGCATCCCCATTAGCTCGACGGAATACGACTGATAATGCTCAAAATCACGAAAGAACCATTGCAAAATCTGATAGTTATAGCGACACAAGTAGTAATAGTTTTGTCAATACCACTGACATTTCTAAACGTAGCACATTGCCAATTACTGGGTCTGGTACAAATTCGCGTATTTCGCGGGATTCTGATGAAAATGGTAAAATGTTACAATTAACAACCGCTGGAAATTCTTCAGATAGGGATGTATCTCTTGCAACGTCTGTTCCTAAAGATTACGAAAGCAGAAAAGGTTTAACGAAAAAATCTGCCATGGACGTGGATAAATCTGCAAGCCAACCGCTGCCTTCCCTTAAATTAAGATCGATAGGTTTCGATCTTAGAAGTCCAACAAACGGCAGTAGTACAAAAAATACATCAGAAGCATCGAAGTCTCCAGTATTAAAACCTTTATCTAAAGGAAATAGTTCTACTAGTGATGGGAAAAGTAATGGTGCTCTTTCAAAGACTAAATTGACTCCACCTGCAACTGCTCCAAAACCAAGACCTTGGAGTATGGCAACTGACAGAAAATCCGGTGAGTCTAAATAGATATAAAAACCATATTTTAATATTTATTAAGAACTTCTTATATCGCATACATGTAACTATAAAGTGAGTAGTATTATAATTGTATACAATTAAGAAACTTATTACATTTGTAGTAATAATATATATATATATATATATTACGTGTTATTATACATGTTATTGTTATATATTCACTGTATAGTTTCATTTAATTTTATAGGAGAATTTAATTTATTAAGCGATGGTTCTAGTCCAAATACTTCAGCAGGAAACACGCCAGATTCTGGTGATGCTCTTGATGAATCAACAGATAGTGGTGTAAGCGGACCCGCTTCGTTGCCACCAACATTATCAGCAAGTAGTACTGCTAGTTCTTTAAGCAATACAAGTGTAGAAAAGCGATCTGTCAGAGAATTGGCAGCTAGTTTAAACAAGAGTAAAACAGAAAGAAAAGAAAATGGTAACTCGGAAATGTGTTTTTTTGTTGTTGCATGCTGTGTATATATATATAGTAACCTTGTATACGCCATCCGAATCACGCATTATTTTTAATTAAGAACAGTTTTTTTTCAATATCAATTAATTTGTACGAGTGCATGTTAAACCCTTAAATTAAGAAGCCTTGCTGTACATATTATTTTAGAGCATACCGCACCTGCAGCATGGAGGTCGGTGCTTCAACGTTCTATCAACCAACCAGATACCAAGGTATAATTAAAGTCCTTTTGTAACAGCTTACCATAATATTTTTTTGTGCTTAAATCCTATTAATAAAAAGTAATAATTTGATGTCTTGTTGATATAACACATGAAAAAATGATCGAAAAGATATTCGTAAAATAACTTATCTAGGATGCGAACGTATACATTCATAATAATTCAGTGTATTTTTAGGTAATGGAAGCGCCGAAAACGGTTGAAGAAAATCGAATAAATTATAAACTTCGACGTACTTCATTTCTACGTGATTCAAATTTTAACTATGATAACGATGTAGTTGATGTTTGACCATGACTTAACACTATAGTAATTCGAAAGTCAATGTTGTTGGTTAATTGCACATTAGAACATCTTTTGTCAAAATATTTTATACGGGGCACAAAAATATGCGAACATATTCTGTTTGCATTTGTGCCATAAAAAGTCGAATGCAAAGCAAGTGCTAATGTTGGAGACAGAGCATCAGGGGTCTCTATAAAAAGTACTAATCTATCGTTAAGGTGGCATTAAAATTCTTATTACAATTTCGTTTACAAAACTGCACTCTTGATGCAGGTTACCTTAATTTAGCAGTAAGTATTTGTATTTAATGTACTAAAAATCAATTGTTGTCTTCACTCCAATTACTTAAGACATTCATATTTCCATAGAAAATATATTTTATACTTTTACATTCCCTTAGATTCTTAGAGAAAGGTCTGTTTGATATTTGCAATGATATTATTTGATCAATGAGATACGTTATGTTTGTTTGAAATTTAAATATTTATGTATTGTTTGACCATACATTTTAAGTAATGGATTGTCTAAAGACCATAATTTACATGATTTTAATTGTTTTAAACATACTACCCATTGTTCTTCTATGTGTAGATCAGCATAATTTTTCGTAATACAAGAAAGGTTTGTTTAAATTATTTAATCATATTTGAGATGTCTTCCGAAACAAATTCTTTTTAATTTTGTGATCAATATTCCCCTTTATTTTCTGAAAAAGTACCGCTTTTAAGCATTTGTGATTATGAAAATATGAATTTTTATATAAATCGTATTATTTATTACTTGCAATTACTCATATTCTACTTTTACACAGTTTTATTAAATTGAAAACTTATCTTAAAAAAATATTTTTTCAATAACTACTTCTGAAATCAGTATTTACCATTGGAATTGAGAAATGCACAAAGCCAACCTCTAAGAATCATAAAACGTTTGCAGTGTGCCATATAATAATGTTATTACATAAATTAACAAATGCCTTTGGTTTCCATATAATAAGGACACACTCAAATGAAATTTTACATGAATATAATAATATAATATTATACAACGCATATACCATATACAAATAATAGTATCAATGTGCAAAAGAAGGAAATGATGTATTCATTAAAAAGATGTTATCGGCTATTGCTACATTCTAAGAATTTCTTTGCAATATTTGTAATTTGTATTTACTATTTTATACCTTGTTAAACATATATCATAACTAAACAAATTTACTAATGTTTTTCGGCTATGTGTGTCCTCTTTTAAAGGGAGCAGCTTTTTTATAACAGTTTTTTTTGTATTATATTAAAAGTATATTGCGAAATATAAGTAATAATCTATCTTATATAAGTCTGTTGAGACATAGTTTTTGATAGCAAAGAACCTATGTAAATACATATGTATAAAAAAATACGCAGGTAAATTAGCTATGCTTACAGTTTCAGTTCATCCGGTTTAATAAATATTTGAATGAGTGTTCGATTTTTAATTTATACTAATATTTATGATTATCAAAGGAAATATATACATATATACTTTTTGGATACACATTTCTAGAAGTACATGCTAGATGACGATATTGCATGTTAAATTGAATTTGCTCTTTTTATATTATTCAAAAATTTAGGACATATAGGTTTGGTCTAATACATTGATCTGGATATTTGAATTTATACATGTCAAGAAATTCATTAACGAGGTACTGATTAAGTCTTTTGAATGCAACTTTTTTCAGATAATCAATCATTTTAAATCTTATAAAGGATTGTAAATTAGACTGATAACATTCTTGTCAAAATATATGCTGTACTAAATCAACTTGACAAATTTTTTATAATAAAAACAAATCAGTATCTCAAAAAGGTAGTTAATCCTGAAGTTACTTAATAATTGAAGCTAATAATTGTATGCCTATAATTTAATTACTACAATGATAAACATAATATTTGTAAACAGGTATGGACTTGTACATTACCATAAGTATATACAGTTTATGGTTTGTATACATATTATGTTGCAGGTGGTTTTTTTTAGAAGTATAGAGTTTCTTTAGAAGTATAAAAAACAGATTACATGCTTAAAAAACTCCCATTGTTATATGAAATTTTATAAACATAACGTAAAAATTGGAATTCAATCTATTGTGCCAAAAATGTAATTATTTTGTACACATACTTATATTCATTCAATTATAATTTAGAAGAATTATATAATTATTATAAAATGGCAAACATACAAATTGCGGATCATGAATTGTAAAGTATAATTATTTTTTTATCATAAATATAATATCATTATTTTAACAATTCCATATTAATTGATGACTCTGTACATTAAAAACGATCACCTGTAATATACAATATTTTAGTATGTAAATATATTGAATGTATCTGCAGTATGTATGTACTAATGAATGCGTGATATAATATTTATATTCTGATTTTATTCTATACATTCCTGTATTAACACTACTTATAAATATATATATATATATACATACACGCGTGCGCGCACGTGCGCATAGCACACCTACATATACACATACATTGTACAATTTTATATGTTCAAACTCTGCTATTAATATTGTTCTGTATCTCTTTCCATCTAAGATATTACTGCATTAAAGTGTACACAGACTGGTATTAGTATTTATAGCAGATTTTGATACATGATTAAATTTAATCATGCAATATAATTCACTAGAAAATAAAGACTCCTATTACATTCATGTACACTAATAGTTCTTCCTAATTATGCATTAGAGAAAAGGTCATTAGAATTAATATTCCTTTGTACCTAAATAATTTTTATAATTCGTTTTTGAAAAATATAATGACCATGTTCTGTAATAGTATTCAGAAGTTTATTTAATTAATATTAAACATCACTGAAATTTTACACCTTTTTATAATTATATACTTTAATATTATGTAACTAATTTCAGGATAATAAGCACTGGAAAAACAGCTCCGAAGTGTTTGTGACATTTATTTGAGATCTTTATTTTTATTTCAACATTTCTGGAAACGCATATTGATATTTGTAAAAAAAATACCATTTAAATTCTAATAAAGCAAAAAATTGAGAGGATCTGTTATTAATATCTTACAGACAGTAGTAACATTTTATTTAAACATACTTTTGTTGATAATAAACCTTTTACTGCGATTCGAATAAGTGATGTAAGTATTAAAAAGCGTTACAAGAATATGTTGTAGGTATACGTCAAGTTCAATTTAGTGCGCGTGCGTGAAAAATTTTATGGAATCTGGCACATTTCCATAATTCAAGAGTTGGAAGAAGTATCGTAGTGAAATACTTGTAGGTTTAAAGGAACTAAATGTGTATGGTAGTTGTTGTGTAGGAAATGTTTATGACTTTTACTATACATTTCATATTTTTAAGTTGAGAAAGCTTAGAAATGTCGCGTTCAAAATCAGAGAAGATCGGGAGCTGTGGTAAATGTGAATTAAGCGTTTGGACACGTGCGATAACAGCGAACTCCGAATGGCCGGATAAAGTAAACATAACCATATTTTAATTAATCGTGTTCGTATTAATCCTTATGAATTCACATCTTATTTTTTACTGTAGGAAGAATTCCTTGATGTTATATATTGGGCCAGGCAAGCGATTGGAATTATAGTCGGTATAGGATGGGGCCTTATACCTTTGAAAGGTTTTGTAGCTCTATTATTGTAAGTTTTCAATGTTATTTCCACTTAAAACTATGTAATTAAGTAAGTTTATTTTAGTTCATTTTTCGTACTTAATTATAACAAAACTTGTGTCGAACGTTTTAGATTTGTACTAGTTAATGCAGGTGTTACGTACCTATACTTTAGTAATTTTCAACAAATAGATGAAGAAGAATTTGGTGGTGTATGGGAATTAACTAAAGAAGGTTTTATGACATCATTTGCTGGATTTTTGGTAATTTGGAGTGGCTTAATATTTTAAAATCCGAATATTGGGTTTTCTTTATTTATAATGAAATTCATATTTGTAGGTTACTTGGATCATAATATATACAGGGCTACATTTCGACTGATGATTTCTGAAACATCAATAGTATCTTGACTGACAAAAATACAAATACATATAATATTTTTTATGAATGAAATACTTTAAACATATATGGAAATTACATTGTCAAACATTTTTAGGGTACATTCAAATTTTCAGCATGTTTAATAAATATGGCATGTAATAATCAGTTTCTGAAATGTTTACTAGCATCATTTGCTGTGTTTAGTTAACCATTCTTATATAAGCAATAATTATACATTTAAATGTTATTTATCAATAGAGAACATTATATGCAAGAGTTTAAACTTCTCATTATAAACAATATTAATTTGGAATTTTACTTGTGGAATATAATTAATTTTTATTATATTCCCTTTTATATACATATTGTTGCAGAAAATAGAATGATTCATGTGAACACAGTAAACTATTGCCAAAACTGATTACATATTATATATGCCAGATCAAATTATAAATAAACATTTTGAATACCCAAATTATTCAATATTTGATCAGATTGAACATTTTGCATGTTATTAATAAAATTTGTATGCTGACTATTTTTTCAACTATTGAAATATATAATGACAACTAGTTAACAATTCCAATTGATGCCTTGACAGGTACAAGGCAATCGTATACATTACAATTACATTACATTGTATAAGTAGATTTTAAGTATTAAAATAATTTTATGTATACTATATTTCAGAAGTAACTGTTTATTTTACTTCTATCTAAATAAGGATCGGCGTGGAAAATTTTAAATAAACAGATTTTACATAGAAATAATTTGAAAGGAAGAAAAGGCTAACATCAATAATATCGTTAATAACTTCATATATAATGATTTATTTAAGTGTATTTATATGTATAAATGATTAAAAACATGTTAATAAAATGTGTTTAATATATTCATAAAAGATACAACAGTATCATCCGATCATTAACCGCTTCCGTCCCCGTGCTTGTACTTCTTTGTACTTATCAACGACTTCTCTGCATTGTTTTTTGTTTGCAGAATACTTTTGGTACGTGTCGAATATTTCTGCGAATAGTAACGGTACTTCTGAATGAGCGCTTAACAACGATCGTTCAAGAACGTATAAGTCAACAGCTTTATCTTCTAAGCTTGATTCAACACGAGCTAATCCAAAATCTATTACAACAAAATTATTTGTAGCTGTAAAAAACGAAGAAATCAGAATAACATTAATATTTACACAATATATAATATACCCAATAACTGTACTATGATATTCGCATACCATCACATTTTTCGATACTCAATTCGTCGCTAAAATTCTTCAAAAGTATATTCGACGTTGTTAAATCACCGTGAATTATGTTTTTGGAATGTAATCTAGCAACAAGCATTCCTAATCCTTGCGTTATGAATTTTGAATAACGGTCAGCATTTGCCCCTGTCGAGATATTTTTATCTATAAAATTTTTTAATACTATTGAGTTTTCTACATACTCCATATAAATGCATCGACGTTCCAACTGTACGAAATATATTGCCGGTGTGGTAACTCCTAAAATGGAAAACGAACACAGCAAGTCAAGAAGAAATGGTACCGTAACGTGTAATCTTACCAGCGGTTTTCGCGCGAACCATAGCGCGGCATTCAGCCTTTATTCGATCCTTTGTTAACCGAGTATCTAAATCTACATGTCTGTATTTCTTTGGGAAGCGTTCTTTAATTAAAGTCGGCTTTCCCAAATAAACACCTTTATAAATACGAGCTTCGGCGCCTTGAGCTATTAATTCGAAACCGTCCATAATAATATCTGCAATATTTTATTCGTGTAACTCTCATTACTCACAAAAATGAAAGAAAACTATGAGCGACTTAATAATGTATTATTACTATTATTATAACATGTAGAAGTGCGTTTATATAATAATTATTTTGTCAAACTAATATATTTAAAAAATATTCAACGTTTCCTGTCGCAAGACAATATTTGCCGCTAAAATTTCAATGATATTGAAAATAAAAAGAAAATGTAGCATTGCAACCTAATTGCAAAAGAGCAGATAGTGCGTCACTCAGTTTCTGAAAAGAAAGATGTTCGCGCTAGCAAGGGCAAGATGAGGGCGAAACGCGAATCGATCGTTACCCGAGAGCGTCCTGCGCGCTAATCGCTATCCCAGCGCTAGTATTCGCCCGTACTTTGTTCCCATCGGATTGACAAGCTAATAGTATAGTGTTTCTGGTCTCGTTATCATTGCGAAAAAAATATACATCATTGCTTTGTTCTCTGGTAGATATGAGGGACGAGGTGAAGATGGATGCGAATCGGCTAATCGCCGAAGTTTATAAGCGGCCAGCGCTTTGGAATCAGAGGCATATCTCTTATCACAATCGCGAGGTGACAAACCGCGTTTGGATGGAGATTGCATCGATATTCAAGTTACCTAGTAGGTGCATTGATGAAATCGTTTCTCATGTATTGTCATTCGCGCGCGAATTTTCACGATTCATCGCGGTACCAAAGATACTTTTAAGTCATTCTTATCAGAGAACAAACGAATTGTTGCCACTATGCGTATAAACAAATTACTATTCCATTTCCCTGGATGAATCTTTGTATTAAAAAATGAGTCCGATACGAACACCATAATATTTGTTTACTAATTTTCATTCTATTCTAATGTGAATCATATGAATGATTTCTTTTTAAATTATTAACATTTCTGCGTGGTATTTTCCTTCTTGTAAATGTAAAATACGTGTAAGCTTGATTAAAGCGTGAACACCATTTATTTTGGTAATGTAATTCTCTACGCTGTACTCGCGTGTACGAGTAGCGATTCTAGTTAACCTCACTTTTCCGAGATGTCATCTTGTTCGAATGCGGTATGTTTCAATCAAATTTTACGCGCTTAGATTAATATAAGACATTCATGATTTTGCAAAATCATGCCCAATGTACTATTGATAACTTACGATTCGTTGCTTGTTAGAATATTACGCCACAAAAAGATTTAAGTTACGAATACAAATAGTGTTTAAGTAAAGACGCATGCGCGCAAGCATAGTCAATAAATTCTGACTTTCACATGTGCGAATGACTTCCGGTCTTTGTAATATTTATCGTTGAAATTATAAATCGTTTTATTTTATTTTAAATCGAATATTACAAATGTATTGTAACGTGTTATAATATGATGAAAACTAACCTACATTTTGCAGATATGAAAACAGCAGTGCAATGTTATCGAAATACTTCGTTAACCGTACTTTTGTGTTTAAACAAAATGTTTTCACATTTGTTTTTCAGAGCCGGTATTAAAAGCAAAGTGGAAAGGTTTACGAGATACCTTTCGAGCAGAACTGAAAAAGGATCAAGTCTATCGGAAAAGTAAATTTCATCGGAACAGACCGGTATGGATTCATTTCAAAAGCTTACAGTTTTTGAAAGAGCAAATGTTACCGCGTCCCCCAATCTGGGAACGAAACAATTCTTGTCAAGATGATGATCGAATACCCAGCGAGGGTGAGGGGGATGGGATGCTGTTGCAAAACGGGTCTTCGATGACGAATAGAAAAGCAGATGATCGAGGTACAATTCCGAGTCACTTACTGTCGATAAATAATGATAACGGATTGAAAATCGACAGTATTAATCACATAGATGTGAAACAAGAGCCCGAGGAGAATTTCGACAATCTCGAGTTCCAAAGTGTCTCCGACAACCTCACGGAGAACGAAATGATGTTACAAAACATTTCACCTGAACAAGTGCTGATGGGTGACCATGACACTGGCATTGGTCTCACGGTAGATCCCTTGGAAGGCAACCGTTTCGATGATAATTACTATTTCCTTATGAGTCTGCTACCCCACATAAGAACATTGCCCGCCGACAGAAGAATGCTGCTTAGGATGCAAATGCAGGAACTAGTTTACAAAGAGGTTTACAAGAAAAGTTCCGAGAGTGTTG